TCTATTTTTAGTAACCATGGCAACACCGTTCATCAAAATAAAAAACAAATGCACTATTTCATGTATCTTAGTGTAGTCTACTTGTGTCTTACGTAATATTGAAATCAGACCAAAACTGTAGAAGGAGTAGCATTTTAAAGGAATTTAACAGAAAATTCTATTTTTAGTAACCATGGCAACACCGTTCAACGAAATCAAAAACCGATGCACTATTAAATATATCTTAGTGTAGTCTACTTGTGTGTTACATAATATTGAAATCAGACCAAAACTGTAGAAGGAGTAGCATTTTAAACGGAATTTCAAGGAAAATTCTATTTTTAGTAACCATGGCAACATCGTTCACTGAAATCAAAAACCGATGCACTATTTTATGTATCTTAGTGTAGTCTACTTGTGTGCCAAGTAATATTGAAATCAAATCAAAACTGTAGGAGGAGTAGTGTTTTAAAGGAATTTCAAAGAAAATTCTATTTTTAGTAACCATGGCAACACCGTTCAACGAAATCAAAAACCGATGCACTATTTTATGTATCTTAGTGTAGTCTACTTGTGTACCAAGTAATATTGAAATCAAATCAAAACTGTAGGAGGAGTAGCGTTTTAAGGGAATTCAAAGAAAATTCTATTTTTAGTAACCATGGCAACACCTTTCATTGTAATCAAAAACCGATGCATTATTTTATGTATCTTAGTGTAGTCTACTTGTGTGCCAAGTAATATAGGAAATCAAACCAAAACTGTAGGAGGAGTAGCGTTTTAAAGGAATTTCAAAGAAAATTCTATTTTTAGTAACCATGGCAACACCGTTCAACAAAATCAAAAACTGATGCACTATTAAATATATCTTAGTGTAGTCTACTTGTGTGTTACATAATATTGAAATCAGACCAAAACTGTAGGAGTAGCATTTTAAAGGGAATTTCAAGGAAAATTCTATTTTTAGTAACCATGGCAACATCGTTCACTGAAATCAAAAACCGATGCACTATTTTATGTATCTTAGTGTAGTTTACTTGTGTACCAAGTAATATTGAAATCAAATCAAAACTGTAGGAGGAGTAGTGTTTTAAAGGAATTTCAAAGAAAATTCTATTTTTAGTAACCATGGCAACACCGTTCAACGAAATCAAAAACCGATGCACTATTTTATGTATCTTAGTGTAGTCTACTTGTGTGCCAAGTTATATTGAAATCAGACCAAAACTGTAGGAGGAGTAGCGTTTTGAAAAATTGTTTACAGACAGACGGACAGACAGACAGACAGACGGACGGACGACGGACACCTTACTATCGCATAAGCTCTTCTGGTCTCTGACCAGTAGAGCTAACAACGACTAAAATACTGACACCCAAAAAAGTGGGTATATTTATAGGAGCAATGGAATTTATATCATGACTACTCCTATTAATATCAACGAGGCTTCACTCGAAACTTTAAAAACCATCAGAAATATTGGAGACAAAAGGACAAAAGTTTCCAAATTGTAAAGTGATTTTTCAGTACTATTAACAAGGCTTACTTAGAGAGGTTTAATTCAGGAAGAGGGAATGTAGGAAAGGACTATCATTAACAGGGGAATGTATGATTCTTCAGTTTTGATCTGATTTCAATATAACTTTGCATAAAAGTAGACTACATTAAGATATATAAAATAGTGCATCGGTTTTTGAATTCGATTAACAATGTTTCATGGTTACTAAAAATAGAATTTTCTGTGAAATTCCTTTAAATGATGTTGAGGGACGTACGCATTATCATTTTATGACTGCACATGTATTGGTGGTTTGTTGTCGTTAAATGTTGCGGGGCCATACGCAATGACATTATAATACGATATAGACTATTTTATTTTCATATGCACTTCTCCTTAGAAAAGGATTGATTGATTGTATATTGTGTCCCTCTCCAGAATTTTTCACTCATATGGAGACGCACCTTACCGGTGGAGAGCTGCAAATTTAGTCCTATGCTCGGCACTCAGGGCCATTTAGCAGGGAGGGATCTTTTTTGTGCCAGCACTACTTCGACAGGGGGCCTCGGTTTATCCGAAGGACCGGTCTCCACGTCCCACAATGGGATTCAAACCCGCGACGTAAGGATAAACTCCTTACTCCGCGGCTCTAGAGAAGACGCTCTAACCACTGCGCCACACGGGCGACCCTTCATAAAGGAACATGCACACCTTATTTTAATATTTGTTCACGTTGGCCCCAATCGTGTGTATCATCCACATTAGACATTACCGTTTACTAATCAGTATTTCTGTAAATGGATATATTCAATTTCAACTGTTGCGGGACCATACGCAACATCCTCGTACTGATCATATGTACCTAAAATATATATTTCTATGAAGTGTTGCTTTTTGACTTTGTATTAGTTTGTTACCTTCTGCTTTGTTTACTAGCTAAACAATTATATCTTTAAATTGGGTCAAGACTAGCTTTAAATTCTCCTTTGGTGTTGTTCTTTTTTCAGCCGTTATATAATGTGTAATTATAATTACATTTGTATAATGCTTATCCCTCACTCTCTCATCAGTCAGAATTGATATTTTGCAGCATTGAAGCTGTTTATTTTTACATTTATTATGTGTCCATGGTCACATATATCTGATTCTATATATATAGGTATATACATGTGTATATAAAAATTAATAAAGCTATTCTTCTGGTGCCATGTGGACATTTTAGAATTATTTCATTGATTATTTATTAATTGCTTTTATTATGCTTTATTGTTCAGGTGTACAGCCATGCCTACAAAGAGGGGACAGAAGTCCTCAGCTACCAAAACAGCCAAGAGGAGGAACGCAATTCAACCTATCACCTGTGGGACCACATAATCAAAATGAACTTGCAAACATTGACTATGACAAGTTAGCGGTAGCAATTCTAAAGCACTCGCAAGGACACAATGGACCAAGTGTTCAACCTCAGGAGGCCCCTTCAGTGCCAGCAGCTACTTACAGACCTGTTTACTTTTATGATTTCGCCGTAATTTGTACGGAGTTTTAGTCTAAAATACGTCTCACATTTAGCCATTTTGAAAATATGGAAATCGGAAATACGTTAGTTTGGAGTTTAACTGTTAGTTGTCGTTATGATCGGTCTTAGTTTCACCCTTTTTGTCGCGAAATAAGAGAGAGATTTCAAACACATAATTGATGTCAGGTTGCCAAAACGCTGTGGTATTATGGAATGAGAAATACCCTGTTGTAAAATCATGTTTTATGTAATCAGAAAAGCATTTTTTCTCTTTAAATATATGTACAATTGATGGAAAGTGAAATCTTACTGGCAAATACCAAATCTCACGGACAAATCTAATAACAAATACTAAGACAGCGTTATGGGTAAACAGGTCTGATGTTGGATTTGCTTGAATCTGCGCAATTAGACTTGTGGTGGTTTCGTCTATATTGCATGCAGATGTACCGAAAGGAGAAGGGGTTTTACTACAACGTTCTCCTCTATTTTATTGGAAACAAGACCTAACTCGAAAGGGCTTGGTTTGATTGTTGGATTGTTACACGCTAATGGACCTCGAAGAGAATGTGATGGTTGATCTGCAACTCATACCGGTAAATAGTTATAGGTGTTTTTTTAATTGTTTAATGATCATGTTCTGTAATATTTAAACTGCAGTTTATTTTTTTTACCCCATTTCAAAGTATCGAAGTAGGTGGGAGTTGTCATATGGGGTAAGAGGGTTTGATCCGAGGAGTTCGTTAACTTGAGCAGCATAGGTTACCAATAAGCCAGGTTGCCAAGTGGATGCGTGATAACCTGCTAGATGTGACTTAAGATAGATTTTTAAGCAGCGTTGAAATGAGTTAAAATAAAAGAAAAAAAATAAACAGATAGCAAAATCAAAGGAACTAAGCATTGAAAACCTCAAAGATAGTGATAAAGATATGCGTTTTTACACCGGACTTTCATTTTCCCTTTTCCTTTAGGATTTTCTAAGACCAAACACAAGAAATATTTCAAGGGTGAGTTATCCAAGAAAACATGAAGTAACACCAACAAAGGCAAGGGGGCCAAAGCGGAAGCTCACACCACAGGACGAATTACTTTTAACTTTGATACGATTGAGACTGGGCTTTCTCAATGAAGATTTAGCTTACAGATTTAGTATTTCAGTATCGACTGTAAATAATATTGTCACTACAAAACATATCTTATCTTATAGATATGTATGTTTTTGATTCCTCAAATGCACAAGTTTCAAATACTTAGGCAACCTAAGGGAAAGTTAGAAAACAACCATACGAATTTCATTGAATCAAAACACTTGGAATCTTTATCTTTTGGTCTGTTTTGCTGATGGTGATAACCTTGGGATTTGGCGGGTTTAGTGAATTTTAATTTGGGATGGTTAACCTGGCGAGATAGGAGCTCCGGATAGTTTCAGCTATACACACTCTCATTCGAATTAGCTGGTTTCTGATCTCCCCAGTATTTTTTGTTGATCTCTAGACACTTTTGTTTGTCTGCCCGGACCTTGGGGATTACTTCTTGATCTCTAGACACTGTTTGTTTTTCCAAGATGTGTCCGGCCTCGCAGTTTAGACGGTTTCTTTTCGTAGCGTTCTTACGTCTAAATCTGTCTCTGGCTGCAGAGACTGGGGCAAATGGCATCAGATTGCCTCGCGGATCTAGGTAATGCAGATTCCGAACAGTGATTAAATAAGAACGATGTCTATTTGCTTCATATGTTTAATACGCAATGAACACAGTCATTTGAAACAAAAGCAATTCATATTTGAGTGCTATGAAATTGATTGTTGAATGATAGACTGATCAAATAAACAATAAATTAGTGCACATACCTAGGATAGCACATGTCCACAAAAAATAAAAGATAGAACCAATCGTAACATAGCATATAAGTTCCGGATAAATCTGATTACCCTCTATCTCCCCCCAAGTCTTTTTGGAGATGGAAGAAAAGAAAAAAAAAAAGACTGATGAATTAGGGCTAAATGTGAAATTCAGGTATTCATTTCGTAATCAGCATGCCATTTTGGAGCGCGAGTAGTGCGTCCGGAGCGGCGTGGTGTCATCTGAGCTGCAGGAGGTGAATGGTGTGGTGTGGGACAAGTTTGGGGCTCCATATTGTTACCATCAACAAACGATGGTCGGTTTTCTGAGGGTGTCTGCTCCTGCATGTCAGGTCTGTGTTTTGCGGGCGATTTGGAAAGTGGTGAATGTGCTTCTCTTTCGACGGGAACCATAGATGAGTCAGTTGCTAGGAAACGAGGTCTTGAGGTTTTCTGGGTTGGCACTAGTGGTATGTCAATGTCGTCTGACAGTGGCTTTGCATCTGGCTCCTTATCATGGTGTTGAGGAAGCTCCTTATTATGTACCTGTGGAGACATATATGCTGTCTTGTGAAGTAAGTCAGTGTCTATGGTCCTTGTGGGTTCAAGTAATTTCACAGGTATAAATTTTTTGAGGAACTTTCTGTTCCGTGTGGTTACTCTGCCAGAGCCATCCATTTTGACGACATATTGGTCAAACTGACGGACTTCAATGACGATCCCCGTTTTGTCCCATTTCAAGGGATGTGGACCAATTTGATTTTGAATGCGGACGTGATCACCAATGATCAATGGTGGGAGGCGCTTGGTATGTTCTGTCCAGCGTTCTGCTGAGCGCATATGGCGGATGCGAAGAGCCTCTTCTCTTGCAAACATAGTCTCCTGCCAAGTGTTGTGAGGTTTGTATTTTCCTGGTGGGATTGGAATGAAGTCTCGGATAGGGTGGTTGAAAACACACATGGCTGGAGACAACTTGGTGTCCCTGTCAGGGGTATTCCTGTACTGGAGCATAGCACGTTGGAACAGATCAGTGTTTAGGTCACCATTAGGGGCGGTGTTGTCTGAGATAAGGCGCTTCACTGTCTTTGCTCCAATTTCGGCTCGGCAATTACTGTGTGGAAATGCGACTGATGATAATCGGTGATGTACACCCCAATCTTTCATGAATTGCCGTGTGGCTGTAGCCGTAAATTCTGGTCCGCCATCTGTTGCAAGCTCGTCTGGAATACCAAAAGTGACGAATGTACGCCTTAGGCAGTTGATTAAACCAGTTGCTCCCTCTGATGATTTCTCGACTATTGGCCAGTTTGAATATCTGTCAACAATGACAAGGTAATTTGTGGTGGAAAAAATCAGCACATAGGCATTGGAATGGATAGTCTGGAGAAATGAGAGGGGTTGGTGGAGCACTGGGGTTGGAAGGTGCAATGCGATTACACTGAATACACTGTGCACGAACAGAAGTTATATCAGGTGTGATTCCTGGCCAGAAGACGGAGACTTCAGCTCTTGAGATCATTGCAGTTACTCCTTGGTGGGCAGAGTGTAGGACTGAAAGGATCTCCTGCCTAAGGGAGGGGGGTATAACAATGCGGTCCTTATATAGAATGACTCCATCTAAAGAGTGGAGGTATTCACGGAACTGAAAGTATTCCCGTAGGGCAGGGGGAAACTCATGCCTGGACTCAGGCAAGCCTGATTCAATGAGCTGAAGTAGTTGATGCATGTTGACATCACTTGTAGTGGCTATGCGGACTCTGTCCCACGTGACTGATTGAATGGATAGAGAGCTGAGTGTTGTGCTTGCTGCAGCAACTAAGTTATCTTCCATGTTGTCAGGATCATCATTGGAACGTATACCAGCAAGGAAATGAGATGGTGGAAGAGCATAGCTAATAGAAGCTATGTCATCAGGTAGTTTCAGTTGCTCAGATTTTCCTGCTGGGTGGCGTGAGAGGCAGTCAGCTGCACGGTGCTTCACACCTGGTATATGGGTTACACGAAATCGGTAACGTAGTGTTTTTTCCTTGAGGTTTCGGAGGCGGGAATTTGGAATGTCCTCTAGGGATCTGTCTCCAAGTATTTTTAAAAGTGGCTTGTGATCTACAGCGATGATGAGATTGTCGCATCCAAGGACAAAGTATCTGGCCTTATCTAGGGCATCTGCGACAGCCAGGGCCTCACCTTCTATGGGTGCATATCTTGATTCCGCTGGGTGGGTGAATCTGCTTCCTACAAGTGTGATTTTCCAGCCTGATGTGCAGCAAAAAGGTTCTCGTCCAGGGCAAGTGCAATGTTTTTGGAACAGCCAAAATCCAATACCAGTTTTTGACCAATCTGTAGCTAAGCAAGTAGGTTTGCTGCGATCAAATATTTTCACCCCATGCTCGATCTCTTTGATGATAGCCTTTTTTGAAATTTGGAAGAGATTGTCAAGTTCGGTGCTCCATTCAAATGGTGCATTATGTTTGAGTAGCTGTCGGAAAGGAGTCATCTTGTCTGCCATGCTGAATGCATATGAAACTTGATTAACAAGTCCAAACCAAGAGCGTACGTCAGTTATGTTTTGAGGGGTTGGGAAATCCATGATGGCATTGAAGTATTTCGCGCATGGACGGACACTGTTTGAAGAGATTTCAAAGCCTGCAAAGTCAACAGTGTCTTGTGCAAACTGGAATTTCTCTGGATTGAGGGTAATGCCATTTCGTCCACAAATGTCTAGCCACTGTGCGACCTGAAAGAAACTGTCCTCAAGGGAATTGGCCCAAAGCAGAACATCATCAATGCATTTAGTTTTGTTTTGTATGTGTGCAACGATCTCGTTATATCTTCTGGTGTAGCCGTCGCCGGAAGCAATATATCCCTGTGGAGCAGTCTTGTAGCGATATCGGCCCCAAGGTGTTATGAATGTTGTAAGATGTCGGTCATCTGGATGGATGGGAACACTGTGGTATCCATTCCAGGCATCTAAAACTGATTTCCTTGTGTCGTGAGGGACAAGTCTTGCTTGGTGAAATGGCGAGGGGGTGTGATGGGTTTCACGGGTAGCGTATGCATTGAGAGGTTGAAAGTCTACGGTGTGGGGAGGTTTGCCATTTTTCTTTGCACACACAACCATTCTATGGCACCATGTCACAGCTTCGCCGATAGGTACAGGCTCTATGACTCCGAGTTGTACATCTTGATCCAGTCCTGCCTTGACTTCCTCTTGCCAATGAATCGGAACAGGAACAGGTGTATGGTGAGCAACAGGTTTGGCGTCAGGCTCCACCATCAGACGCATTGGAGGTCCTCTCATTAGTGGTAGGGCTTGGTGTTCACAAGTGTTGAAAGTGCTGGACCTGTAGTGGTTCAGTAGGAAATCACGGAGTTTAAGTCGATTGTTGTCTGTTGCTGCAAATGGGAGTGTTCTTGGAAGTGGTGGTGGCGGCTGTCGCGTTGGGCATTGGCAGTTTTGTGTCTCCTGAGGTGAATCTGTTGTAATCATATTTTCACTGCAGTTACCAATTGAAGGGAAAGTGTCTGGAATGATTCCAAGTGCAACACAAGCTTCTCTACTAAGGAATAGTTTATCAGAATTGTCAGTCACATATGTCATTTGCCTGGTCTCGACTGGCTTGCCATGGTTGTCTATTCCAGATATGAGAAGGATGGTTGCTCCGAGGATTGTAATGCCCCTATTGTTGGCAGCATGCATCTTCATTGTCACTGGAATGAGGTCAGATTTTGTAAGTCCCAGTTTGTGGATAACCTTAATTCCTGCCAGGCAGCTCTGACATCCTGTGTCGGCCATAGCTGGGAGTTTTATGGTTCTTTGTGGTGCATTCAATGAGAAACCCAGTGCTTTGTGGTCCTCAGGTAAGGATTTGATAATAAGATTGATGAATGGTTGAGGTTTGGAACGCTTTCTGATCCATGTGTCTGATAGATGGTCATAAAGATGATGATCTAATGCGATTGATTTGTTTGAGTGGTGATTGGAGGTGATGTCGGATAGGACACAGAGGGATTCAAATACACCACCTTCATAGCTGTGGGTGTCTGTAGAGGCTGTAGGGAGTTTTTCCTTGTCTTTGCTTCGACGAAGAGCCTCTAAGTGATGGTCCTTGTTGCAATGTCCGCACTTGTGACCATAGGCAGGACATTCTGTTTTGCGGGTACGAGCTGGTGCATGTCTGCCATGACCTTTTTTCCCACAGTAGGAGCATGTTTCATTCTTGTCCTTCAGTGCTATTTGCTTTGTCCTCTTATAACAGCTAGTAGTTGCTGCAGCGTTTGTGTCTAATAGTCGAGAGGCAGACCGTTTTCCTGCTTCCTTGGCTTCAACAAATTGGGTGACTTCCTCTAAAGTCATGTTTTGGTTTTTGTCCCCGAGGAGGTCAAGTTGAATGTCAGGGTCAGCTATGTCTCGTGCAAGTACATCACGAACTATAGTGTCAGTGTAATTTACCTCATGATTGCAGTTGGGGCATGTGATTACAAATTTACAGACTCCTGCTTGCCCACGAAGTTTAGCACTAAAATTACGCACTGGTTCATCCCTGTCTTGACGCATATTATGGAGAGTGACCCTAGCCACCATCGTGTTTTCTTCGCGTACAGCAAGTTTTTTGATGGCTGAAAGTATAGTTTCCTCAGTTTTATCTGTGAGACTGCCTCCAGTAGATCGTGTGAGGTCTTTCCTGAGGGGTTCGTCACAGCATTCCAAGAGCTGAACAACTTTGTCACGGCCTTCAATCTTAGTGGCGCTGACGTATTCGGACCATCTTGACATGAAGTATGACCATTCCTCACTAGTACCAGCTGCTGATATGGAAGGGCGTTTAACTTTCTCTATTTTAGCGGTAGGTGCGTTTAAAGATGAGTGGATGGTGCTGTGAACTGTAAGTAGGGAAGCCACGATGGCAGCTTCTAGGTCTGCAGTTTCATATTCACAGTCGGGGATGGGACACTTGATTTTTGGCATTGTTGTTATTGAAAGTGAAAGTAGACTTGTTTGCTTCCGGTGCCGATGAGACTGTGTTCATAAATAAGAACGATGTCTATTTGCTTCATATGTTTAATACGCAATGAACACAGTCATCTGAAACAAAAGCAATTCATATTTGAGTGCTATGAAATTGATTGTTGAATGATAGACTGATCAAATAAACAATAAATTAGTGCACATACCTAGGATAGCACATGTCCACAAAAAATAAAAGATAGAACCAATCGTAACATAGCATATAAGTTCCGGATAAATCTGATTACCCTCTAGTGATGTTAGTAGGTTCTATGGCGCTTTGATGTATGAGGCGCTCATACCGCCGAGTCACCTGACCCCTCCTCTTACTTGCATAACGACAGTTGGCCTTGAGGCATTTGTAGATTTCAATTTGTGGCTCATGGACCGCTGGCCAATGCGTTCGGCAAGCTTTGTAATTCCCCAACCATATGTCGCATCCCTTTACATTGCATGTCATTCCCCCTCCTGCCACAAGGGGGCGGATGTATCGGTCTAGTTCCTCCATTTCCTCCTGACAGACGAAAATGGCCAATATATCCATATGATACGCCTGAAAAACAGTTGTACGACAAATTTTAGAAAATTGAAAAAAAATTATATCAAGGCAATACCAGAGTATAGGAATAGGGCGCCAACAGTCCAGCTGTTTTATAAATATTCGACTCTTATATATTACCACGAAATAATAGATTTTAAAAAAATGATTGATTGATTGTATATTGTTTAACGTCCCTCTCGAGAATTTTTCACTCATATGGAGACGCCACCACTTGCCGGTGGAGGTCTACAAATTTTGTCCTGTGCTCGGCACTCAGGGCCTTTGAGCAGTGAGGGATCGTTTTTCGTGCCAGCACCTACTGCGACACGGGGACTCGCGGTTTATACGGTCTCATCCGAAAGACCGGTCTCCACGTCCCACAGTGGGATTCGAACCCGCGACGTAAGGATTGACTCCTTACTTTGCGACCTAGAGCAGACGCTCAAAGCACTGCGCCACGCGGACGACTTTAAAACAAAATGAAATGTTAATTACACACAATGTCATCTGTGCAAGTTCAAGGTCACTGGAAGAAAGATTTGATAATTTTTGTCCGGTCCATATCTTATGGATAAACTTGAATCTACTACTTCACACAAACATTGCTTATAATCTGAGGTTGTGTCATGACTTTGAACCACTGTAATTTATGCAAGTTCAAAGTTACTGACAGAAAAAGTTCATTATTCGTGTCTGATCCGTATATTTAATCTTATTTTTTTATGAAGCTGCACCTTCATTTCATTTATAGAAAGTATAAACAGCAATAACATTTGCACTAAAATGTTTTAGCATTTCTCTCTGCTCTTTAATCCATAAACTATTGATGATTAAGGACCTTTGAAAAACCCAGCGGGGGTATTTTGTCCCGTTTGGACAGTTCTAGTTAACTTGACCCCTGAAAATAATTGTTGTGACTCATTTTACAGACAACTAGATTCAGTATATTGAACTCTTCCCTTGAACTACAAATTTTTGAATTATGATAATGCAAACATCAAGCCAAATTGTGATGACAGAGATTGATATCTTAATTTGTTGAAAATTTCCAATAGTAAGGAATGTTGGTTTATACAAGAAAGAACGGCGCATACAGCCCCTGGCCAGGAGGGACCGGGCTCTGGTAGCAAGCGGGCCAAGGGCTGGCATGGAAGGAAGGGAAGCTGGTTGATGGTCCACAGAAACTGCTGGAACTGAAAGCAGTCCTGTTGGAGTTGCTGGAGCAAATAACGGGGTGGAAGCCAGTGGGGTGATTGGAGCTGTGGCAAATATGGAAGTTACAGGAATGGCAATAACAGGTGAAGTCAGGGCCAGTGTCGTGGCTTGGGTAGTGGCCAATGGAGGGCAGACTGTGGTTACAGGTTGAGGGAGAGGAAGCCTAACAGGCAACTTGGGAATGAAAGCCTCAACCAGCTTCTTCTAGGCGGGCTCTGGATTGATGGCTCTGAGTGGTGTCCTCTCCACAACCTAGCTACCAGTGGTAGGGGAAGGTGAGGATTCCAAATCAGACCCGGCAAACAGCTCTATTTCTGGTTCCTCAGCCAACTTTTGTTCAACAGGCTTCCACATAGTTTTCAAGTGGTCTGGCTCGATGCCAAGGGAGGTGGCGAAGTGAGCTGCCTGTCGTCTCCTCTGTCCCTCCTGCTGAGTGAATTTGGCTACTTGGAGGTCTGGGTTTTGTTTCTGGACGGCCATCTTTCGGCTTAAGCTAGCAACACTCTTGGATCAAAGAGGACCCTATCATCCATCTTGACCTTGTAGTAGGTTTCCGCATCCTCCAGCACTGCCCGGATCTCTCATGGTATTAGGCTGATACTTAATAGAGTAAAATTGCTGGGGGAGGAAGGGTTGTACGCAGCATACTGGTCAACCTTTGGGTGGAAGGAGCTTTGAAGTCAGTAGCTGTACTCTCCCATCTTTCCAACATAGCTGAAGCACTTCTGGACTTCCGGATCTTCAGCTTTACAGGGAAAGCTAAAAATATTCCTACTCTACTTAAGTAATAAAGACGGCAGACGAGAAGAGGCCTTGGTGTTACGGTCTGTAGGTTCTATGAGGAAGCGGTAATGTTCTGGATGGTACGACAGCCACAAACAGTTATTTTCCGATAAGAGCTCGTCAACCGGAACGTAAGTGGCGGTAACGGCATCCTTGTGTCTCCGAATGATGTGTGTCTGAATGTGATGAAAATTTTCAATATTGTTGGATTATAACTGTATTTTGTAAAACCGTTCACGGTAGCTCAGTCTGTCGAGCGCTTGCTCCGTGATCGGGAGGTCGTGAGTTCGTATCTCGGCCGCGACTTACCTAAGTCGATAACAAATGGGTAGCAACTGTTCCCTCGCCATGCGCTCGGCACTATGAAGTGAAAGTTGCGGGTCCTTCGGATGAGACCTTTAAAACCGAGGCCCCGTGTCAGCGGCTGGCGTTGGCACGATAAAGATCCCTCACTGCTCAGTGGCCCTGAGTGCCGTGTAAAGGTCAAAATTTGAAGGCCTTCTCCGGCATACGGTGACGTTTCCATACGAGTAAAAAATTCTCGAGAGGAACTTGAAAGTATATTCAATCAATAAATGAATTTATTTTATAAATATGCATGTTTTTTGCTTTCATCAAATCATGATAAAAATTGAGAAGAAAAATTACTAATATACTCCCGTTTGCCATTAATAAATGTACCTGTGATGTTATATTTAGTTGAAATTTTTAAAGAGGTTGTTGAAAAATGAATACATTACATTTTATCATAAATAACCATCAGTCAGTCCAGGAAACTTTTAAGAACTTTGAAAATACATGTATTAGTTACAGTGTTCAATATTTGGCGGAATTAAACCTTAAGCAAAAATGCAAATTGTTCTAATCCATCTGACATATCATTCATGTGACCGGTCGGTGTGCAGGGATGCTCATTCCTCCTTGGCACCTGATCCCACCTCTGATGTTTCGGAGGTCAGTGTTTGCTTGCTTCAATTTTGTATTGCTTTATGGACTTTGATATTGAATACTGTTCATTATCTCCATATTCTTCATTCATGTTACTTATCCTTCATTTATGTTACTTAAGGGTAATTTTATTAAATCAGGGTTAGGGTTTATTAAATCACCATGCATGAAAAAAAAAAAACAGTATAGGGGAAATGTTGTATCTACAGACAATAAAATTCATAACGGTGGTAGATTTTCATTAATTTTATTATCAGGATCTTATCAGGATTTTTGTATAATACTGACTTTTACAGTTTATGATAAGTTTTGTAACTTGCATACAATCTCATTGATAATGTCATAGTGATATGGCAAATTTGTTCATCTCATTATTTGCTCTTTTGGCATAATGGATATCATCTGTAAACCAAGGAGTATTAAATTTTGGTCGTAGAACGACCTTCTTTGATTTTTGAGGTGCATGAAAATCAATGGTAGTTTGCAGGACTGTATTGTAGTGAATAATAGATGATTTTCAACGGATTCTTCCTCATAAGTTACATTTGAAAAATTCATATCGTTTTTGAAATCGCTTACTAGTATGTCAATATCATGAATTTTCCGAAAACTTGCCTTTTTTCTCCCTTGGAGCTTTAGATAGACGCAGTAAAGCACAGATAGCAAGGTACTCACCTCTTATATTGCCACTATTGTCAGAAATACTAGGATCTGCCAAAAATGGCGTTTCCTGTAATACAAGATTTAACGTCTCTCGTTATGAAAGGGACATGGACAGAAGTTAAAAATATTTAAATTTATTTTTGAACGCCGGCGTGGCGCAGTGGTTAGAGCGTCTGCTCTAGAGAGAAAATTTATTTTTGAACGCCCGCGTGGTGCAGTGGTTAGAGCGTCTGCCCTAGAGTCGCGAAGTAAGAAGTTACGGTCACACGGCGGGTGTGACCGGTCTGCAGTGGATGCTCCCTCCTCTATGGCACTTGATCCTACCTCTGATGTTTCAGAGGTCCGTGTTTGCTCTGCTCTTTTTTTTGTATATTGTTTAATGGACGTTGAAATTGAATACTGTTCGTTATCTCCATATCCATCCTAATGTCACTGCTCAAAGGCCCCGAGTACCGAGCATAAGAAAAAAAATTGAAGCCTTTCAGCGGCAAGTGGTAGTGTCTCCATATGAATGAAAAATTCTCGAGGGATATTAAACAACGTACAATCAATTATTTTTTTTATCAAATTATAAACATAGTAATGGTCCAACTTAGTAATGGTCATTGAAAATTTGAACTTCGGTTGTCGAAATACAAGACAAATTTAGAGCTCCAAATCTTTGTTTTGTAAACTTTACGGTCCGTGTTATGGTTTGTTTACATAATATTAATATACTTATACATGATAGTCCAAAGTATTTTAATATAAAAAGTTATTTCTTTATTTAAACAGTCACCTACAAGTGATTTGTTGAATTTCATTTTATAAATGTGATATTTTAGAATGCTTGTGCCTTGATTAGGTTTACAAAAACCTGAAGTTCACTATCTCGTTTGTTATTAAACAAATGATGTTTAACTTTCACCTGATCAGTAGATGATGACATTCCCAGGAATTGTAAAACTTATAAACTCTTTTTAAAAAAAAACTATGTCAATGCCCATTTAATATATCTAGTGTATGGCCATGTGTTTAATAGTCAGTGCATGTGATACAATACGCCCATAGAGCATCAAGCCCTTCAAGGTGAGCATTAACTTTCAAATTGTT